TAGTTGTCGTGTCAAACACGTCTATAGTCATAGCTCTTTTGTTCGGTGTGGGAGCAGGAATCTGGGAGTGTAGATGTTCTTTGTGAAGGTCTCTTTTGGAGGTGCAAATTTTTCCCCTTGTACCTCTTTGGCCATTCCTCTGCTTGTCTCTCCCTAGCGGAGAGGTCCTGCCTTTCTGCACGTATCTACGGAACACATTAGCTTCTCTATTATGTAAATGTTGTATCATCTGGTTTACAAACCTTTAAGTACTCCAGATATTATGTACTTTCACTTCGCGTACTACCCGAGAGTGTCTAACAACTATAGAGCCTAAGTAGGGAGAATAATACTCTGAGTACTTAAAGGTTTGTAAACCAGTTCGGTACAACATTCTAATAGAAGCGGCTAAATGTGTTCCGTAGTACGTGGCAGAAAGGCAGGACCCTCTCCCTGGAGGAGACAAAGAGGGACTCCAAAGCGGACCAAGGGGAATTTGGACACCCCAGAAAGAGACCTCACAAGGACTGCCTACACTCCCCAGATTCCTTGTGCTCCCCAACAAAGAGTATGACTTAGCGTGTTGACACGACAAGCATAACCAACATTCACAGAATACATTCATAAAAATGACATACCATGGTCGTGAACCGAGCCCGTTTTAACAAATTTTACAATATTTTATCGTTTAAATAACTAACTAAACTATATGGTTTTCACCTGATTATTCTTTTCTACGGTGTTAAGAAAGTGTCCTTATTGTAAAGTATTTTTACTGTATGTACAGCACTTTGGCTCGGCCAAAAATCGTTTTAAAAATGTACTATATAAATAAAACTTTATTTGATTTGATTTGATATACCCAATGTGGACTAATAAAGAAAAAGATGCACACATTTCTTTCATGTGGACTCTCTATAACAATTGTTTTTTATTATAGTAAAATAAGAAAAAGGGTTTGAAATAAACCATTGTTTTGTTTTTGTAATGATTATTGTATCACTATTAAATATGGTTTGACTAATTAATAGAACTTAATTTGATGACTTGTCTAAACAATCTTTTGAGGTTTTCAGCAGGTCTCGGAGATAAGAATTGTGAACGGATATTAATAAAGTTATAAAATATTAATATATCAAGGAAAGCAACTTTCAAAAAGTATTTCCATAAAGTCATTATTATTAATTTGATAAATGAGTCATCACTTCACCATCTCTTCTATCTACATTAACAAAAAAAACAGTTCTGCAATGTATCTTTATAAATATAATACCATTAATAGCGGTTAAATACAATACAAAATGCTGCTTCATATGCCCAGTGGGGGCTGAACAATGTATGACCCATTATTCTAAATTATATCTGTTCTGTGAAACAACTCAGGCTTGCTGAATTTGTATCTTTTTGTGTTATTAGGTATTTCTTTAATAATAGTTTAGTTTACTTATTTAGTTTTGGTTGCCTTGCCTCTTGTTTCCAATATAGGTACTCGTGTTGTATTGCATTGACGGCAGTAGTTTGTGCCATTATCATTTTTAACATGTTCTTAGTAATGCATAATATATAAGCTCTTACATTTTCCTGTTGCAAAGTGCTTTCTAACTTCGGACATTTACTCAAATACTGTACTTAAGGATAATGTTAATGTATATTAGATTCAACTTTATTGTAAATGAGTGCAATGTCACAGAGTGTGCGGTGCTGTGGGTTAGAGCCACATGTACATCAACCTAATTTAATTATGTACCATTAATGTTACTTCATACTTCTAATCCACTACATTTGAAAAACTAAATATTTAACTGTATTACAAAAAATATTTACTTACTTTTTGTTTTGCATTATTACAGATTAAAACACTATGCTTAAACACAAAAGTATTTCATATGGCTGCAAAACTATATTTAGGGAAGAGTTGCTAGGATTCACATGAAATCAACATTTACTAATAAAAAGGATTAAGCTGTAACTTGTCTCACAACAACTCTGACTTTATATTTCTGGACTCTTCAACTTAATACTCTAGTATGGACTATTCTGCACAATGTGTACCTTTTACTTTTGATACATTAAATCCATTTGTCTAGAAATACTTATCTACTTAAACTACATTTTACTGACAGCAGTATTATTTCATTGTTGTTTTGATACCTTCGTGTGAAGAAACTGAGGACTTCCTCCAAATGCTTTCCAGCTATTGAAAAGTGACTTTTAAAAATGTTTATAAAGCCTTCCTATCTGAATTTAGTTTTTAGGTAACAGATGCTGAAAAACCCACAGCTGTGAGATACAGTTAGCACACATCTAAATATAGAGGGGACCTGTTTACCTGTGCAATCTGACCGAGAAACACAAGTCAACTTTGAGAGGTGGATTCAAACCTTTAGAAAGTTATGAGTCACAAATGTTTTAGTTTTTTTAGGCAAAATAAAAGGAGCAGAAACACTCACTGTGAGAAATGACTCCATAGAAACCTAATTTAAATGATTGATGTTTTTATTTAGAGATGAGTTTGACAAAGTGGTGCTTTATCAAACACCATATACTGTACTGCTTCTCACCAATAAATACTTTTCTAGGGCTAAATCCTTTATTTGGCATCCAAACCATAATTATATTGTGCATTTATAGCTTATAGATAAGTGAAGTGGATTAAAAAACTGCATTTTACCCTCAACTTCTGTGTCATCCTGACAGTCAAGACAAAAGCCATTCCTAGCAATACATTGGTCTGTGAATGTTGAATCTTATGTCAAATGTGGCATATAAAAATATGTGGTAATAATGTCGTTTTTTACAATAACTTTACAAGATCACTCCCTGCATTTCAAAAACCGACGCTTGGTCAGGGTCCTTTGGCCTAACCACCCAAAACAACAAAAAATAGGTTCAAGTATTACATTGATTAGATATTAGTGATCGTATAAGAATTATTTGGACTTGTATTATCCATACTTTCCCCTTTTACTTTTCCCAATTTTCTAACAAGAAAGCTATCCTTACTTCAACAAAGATATTTTTTATGTAATTCTTTAAATGAATCACCTAACTCCAACCTCCTGCAGCAGAGATTGGCTCCTTGCTGACCAATGAGGAGGGCCGGACAGCAGGGCAGCTCTCCTGACTGAGGATATAAACCAGGTCTGCAGGTGAAGGCTATCAACGACAGAATCACACAGCAACCATGATGTCTCTGGTCTTCATTCTGCTCATCGGAGCTGCCTGTGAGTGTGAAGCTCTTATCGAGCTGATTGGCTTCCTTTCTGCAGACAGTCTGTGGGCCTTTATCCCAAAACTTAGTGCAGAATAACCAGAGCATGTGCCTAAAGCCAAGGATTTTAATTTGAACAACTGATTGATCTTTAACCACCCAAAGTTCTCCAATGAACAATGCACACTGGTTCTACATTCAAATAGATGTCTGTTATATTGTAACTTTTTTTAAAGAGTAGTATCAAACAACTAAGTTGATGCTGATGTGTGTTTTCTCAGTTGCCACGCTGTGTTTTTATTTTCGGCACGATGACTATAAGACGTGTTTGACACGACACACAATAAACAACATTTGCACAGGAATAACATTTCATAAAAATGACATACATGTCGTGAAATCCGAGCCGGTTTTTTAACAAAATTTTTACATTGATACTTTGAGGGTCCGCAATTTTATAGCGCCCGCGACAATGAGTTCCTGAGTACTCACGTGAGAGTAAGTACTAACTGAAGCCTTCTAGTGTGGGCACGTTCGTACCGCACCGGGTGTTCTCGCACCTCGATTATTTCTTTCCTTCTCGTGTCGAAGACCCGTCTCGGTCGCCCGGACTTCGCATGACCAACTCCCATGCCCCGAACGAAGTCCGAACTAGTCCGTACCTACGAGTAACACAGCTGACAACATCCTCAACATCAAACCACCACTGCCTACTGTCGCCCTCCCGACTACTTCGACGAGCAAAACCGGAGCCACTGGGGACTACACCCGAGCAGGAGTATCGCTTGGAGGTGTGCCGATTTTTTCGGTTTTACCTTTACTGACCTAAGTTCATTGTTTGTATGTCTGTTGACTAGTAAGTTTATAATTATACTCGTATGGTGCCATCATTTATTGTCTAGGATACTGGGACCTTTGTGCTCCTACACGAATGCTGAACATCCGTCACTCGTCGTCTGTGGTGGGTCGCAAGCAACTGGTCCCTCCGGAGGTGTCCTTCACCATCGGTCTCAAGTCTCTGTGGACTACCCCGTACCTCATCCACTGACCGTGAGGAAGGGGAGGCTGTTAGNNCCCCCCTCCCCCCCAGCCCCAGTACGGTTTGCCCGTCCCCGAGTCGCGGGACAAGCCGCTCTGTTTCTCGGACTTCGAGGACCTCAGCGCTTCTTTCCGCAGTCTTTACAAGTGTGTCTTTGAGCAGTCCTTCTCACAGCAAGGTGGGTGTGGATTAGTGTGTATCTGTTCATGTGTGCATGTCCAACATCTTAATTGACACATGTGTTTGCAGAGAAAAATGAAAACTTGTAAACGTTTTATGTTAGGCTTCATGCACATAATGAACTGTCAAGCTTAAGCTCCTAATGAAATGGAATGTATTTAACATGGCTTCCATTGGCGTTAAAGCATTCCAGTATTAACCTCCATCACGCTCTACTCCTACTCTATTGTATTTTAATAAACAAACAATCTGTTGTTCCGCATATCTGCATTTTATGGCTCGTTCAGTCAAATGAGTAAAGGCAATTAAGAGGAAGATTCAACAGAAGGAGGAAAAAAAGAACTGGAAACATCTGCAGTGGAGCAGAGCAAGGGGCTCCGCAGCTTTGATAGCAGCTAATTAGATTGGTTTTAAAGTTTGTGAAGCATCTTGCTAATTGCTTCCTAAAGCTTTCAGGTCAACAGGCCTCCTTCCACTCAGACCCCCCCCCACCATCCTCCACCACCCCCCTATCACCTTCGCTCTCCCGATTTCTCCTCCACGAAACACATCCACGCCCTTTCAGGAACCGAGGAGATTGATGCGCTCTGTTGAGCTCCGTAACTGCTGCCTGTGTTCACCCTCTGACAAGGTCCCTTCAATTTGTGGTCAGGGGGGCACTCGCGGAAAAAACAACACAGTGAGAATACTAGTTGGGAAGAAACAATATGACACCGACACCTAGACGGAAAGTGGAGAAGACAACGGATTCAGTAGATCCTTGAAAGGGTTTTCTAAGTGTGAGGCTTAACAGGAAACGATGTCAGCAGTCGTGGCATTGGAACATTTGAGTCACAAAGACAGAAAAGCTCATCCTCTCATTGTGAAAAACCACTGTGAGTCCAACACCACACAGCAAAATATAAGTGACTCTGCTCAATATTCATCCTCATAAATTACAGCACAATAATGGAGACCAAATATATATTTTTTAAAAAAAGGCTTGTAATCAACTGTAAAAGCAACATGCAAAATCGGGTGTAAAAAAATACTTTATTTTTCAACCAAGCTTTAACCAGAGTCTTCTCTCCCTTTTGTCACATTTAAAATCAACTTGTCCCTCTAGGACCCCAAAACCCTCCCAACACCCATACAGTGCAATATATTAGGAATGTGAAACAAAACCAAGGCAGTAAAAAACCTGCAATGACTTACAAACGGAACAAAAAATGTCTATAAAGCATTTTTCAGAAAGCATTGAGCCGACACATGGCAGTGAGAATAAAGGAATTGGAATAAGATATACTTTTTTAAAGGCACGTAAAGCGTAACGACTCCCACAGGCGGGAGTGGAAAACTCCCCTGCTTGGATACCCTCAGTGCTCCGTACGCTCATGGATTTCACTTTGATTTGTTGGTCAGAAAAGGATAAACTAAAGTACCTGTGTCTCACTTTGCTGATCTTTAAAGAGGTCTGTCTTTCAGCGATAAACAATGAAACGGTAGATAAAAGAAAAGTCAAAATCTTCTCGTCTAAGGACAATAAATGCACTTAAGGAAAAGAGTTGCGTTTTATGATGAAGGTGCACGCACTCGTGGCCAAACTTAATGATCATCCATGTCTTTATAGGCAACCCTAATTGATTGTTTATAAACTGTCTACTTGTGAGAGTAATTAACTATATTAATTCGAACTTTTTTAATATTATATATATAGTTTTGAACACAACCATGGCAGCTGAATTTTCTCAAAAGATAAACAAAGAAGCGGCCTATTTTCAATTTTTTTCAAAGTGTTCATGTTTGTTATCCTCACCTGTGATGTTTCTTCTGGCAGGTTTGATGGGAATGCCAGGCGACTCCTCCCAGCCGCCCCGGACCGCCTGCTCCTACCAGCACTCTCCTGGGGCTGGGAACGGAGTGAGCCACCTCCACCAACACGCCCACGGCCAGGCCTCGCACCATCCTCTCCACTCGCAGCAGCACCTCTCCCCACACTCCGGCCACAGCCAGCACCAGGCGCACACCCAGCTCCAACAGCACCAACAGCACCCGGCCCACTCCCAGCAGCACCCGTCTCTCTCCCACACGGGACAGGCCTGCCCCACAACAGGTGACACGCAGTTTATATGATGTCTTTGTAGGAGCTGAACATACAGTGGGGCAAAAAAGTATTTAGTCAGCCACCAATTGTGCAAGTTCTCCCACTTAAAAAGATGAGAGGCCTGTAATTTTCATCCTTGGTATACCTCAACTATGAGAGACAAAATGAGAAAAAAAAAATCCAGAAAATCAAATTTGTCTGATTTTTAAAGAATTTATTTGCAAATTATGGTGGAAAATAAGTATTTGGTCACCTAAAAAACAAACAAGATTTCTGGCTCTCACAGACCTGTAACTTCTTCTTTAAGAGCCTCCTCTGTCCTCCACTTGTTAACTGTATTAATGGCACCTGTTTGAACTCGTTATCAGTATAAAAGACACCTGTCCACAACCTCAAACAGTCACACTCCAAACTCCACTATGGCCAAGACCAAAGAGCTGTCAAAGGACACCAGAAACAAAATTGTAGACCTGCACCAGGCTGGGAAGACTGAATCTATAATAGGTAAGCAGCTTGGTGTGAAGAAATCAACTGTGGGCGCAATTATTAGAAAATGGAAGACATACAAGACCACTGATAATCTCCCTCGATCTGGGGCTCCACGCAAGATCTCACCCCGTGGGGTCAAAATGATCACAAGAACGGTGAGCAAAAATCCCAGAACCACACGGGGGGACCTAGTCAATGACCTGCAGAGAGCTGGGACCAAAGTAACAAAGGATACCATCAGTAACACACTACGCCGCCAGGGACTCAAATCCTGCAGTGCCAGACGTGTCCCCCTGCTTAAGCCAGTACATGTCCAGGCCCTCTAAGTTTGCTAAAGAGCATTTAGATGATCCAGAAGAGGATTGGGAGAATGTCATATGGTCAGATGAAACCAAAATAGAACTTTTTGGTAAAAACTCAACTAGACGTGTTTGGAGGAGAAAGAATGCTGAGTTGCATCCAAAGAACACCATACCTACTGTGAAACATGGGGGTGGAAACATCATGCTTTGGGGCTGTTTTTCTGCAAAGGGACCAGGACGACTGATCCGTGTAAAGGAAAGAATGTATCGTGAGATTTTGAGTGACAACCTCCTTCCATCAGCAAGGGCATTGAAGATGAAACGTGGCTGGGTCTTTCAGCATGACAATGATCCCAAACACACCGCCCGGGCAACGAAGGAGTGGCTTCGTAAGAAGCATTTCAAGGTCCTGGAGTGGCCTAGCCAGTCTCCAGATCTCAACCCCATAGAAA